GAGACCCGGGTTTGGATCCCTTCATCAGTATTGAGACAGTATTGGAAGTTTTTTGGTCTATATTGCCTCAATATTGCCACAAAATGACAGAGATTAAAGAAAGCATTTGAAATAAATAAAAAGACATAACACGCTTTTAAAAACCATACTGGAGGGAAAGCTCGAAGACAAGAGAGCAAGAGGTAGGCAACGATACAAATGGGAGGACAACATCAAGAGAAGACGGGCACCAGTTTAAGAGAGTATACAACCAGGACAAGAGACACAGCGTGTTGGAGATTCATTGCAGCCAACCTTCACTGTGGAGACGGTATCTGATTGATCGATTTATTTATTTTTTGAAATAAAATTAAATGAAAATTTAAAAAATAAATAATATAAAACAAACAAATAAGACTTGACCTGTAAACATTCTTAATTGTAATTAGATCATAACCGCCATCTCGTCGCTGTTCAATTCCTGTGTTACATTGGTCTTTTCTGGAAACCACAGTTTCCGAATGGCGACGAACAGATATTTCTGATCAGTAACGGATGCACAGTATTTACGAGTGCAGTAGCTGACGGCAATGCCTACCACGAATGTAATCGTGGAGCTGATCGCAGAAAACCAAAGGTGTGAGATGTCGTACATGAAAAATCCGTCATCAGATGGAGACTTCTCTTGATAGCTTGTGAGATTCGATAACTGTCTGGTCTGAGAGCTGAACGTTGTCGTTGTTCCAGAATATGACTGTGAGGAAAAGTTAGTTGCAAATTCTGTCAAAGACCTGTTCTGAAAGCACATGTCAGTTGGTGGTGATGGCAAGACTATGGATTTCGGACCGGATATGTAACTTCCTAAAGTAATCCACATGCTGACAATAAGAGCCAAGACTGCACCGCTGATGGCACCGTACTTGTTTGCCCAAGGAATTAGGGCTCCTAAAAGGAACATTCCCACTACTACACCTCCCCAGCCTCCAGTATTAGATATCATTATCTGAGTTACTGAACCTTGAAGTGAGTTGGCGCCATACGCAAATACAATGATTAGGATGCCATAGAGAAAAACTAGTACTTTGGTGATGAGGGTGGCTGTACTTTCCTGGAGTTTATGCAGCCGCCTCTTCAGGAAATCCTCTACAGTGTTGGCTGCTAAGGCATTTATTCCTGTAGATAATGCATATGACCAGTTATATTTATAATTATATTACAATTAAAATTACGGGTTGCAAAACTGTTTAATTTTTCTGTTTACTGAATTAATATGAGAAAACGTACGACGTGTATACGACCAGTGTGCTGCTGAAACAGTCAGCATCTACACCAGAAGACATTTGCTATGGGAGACGGAACATTTATGGTTGTGCCAGACCTGCTTGTTTGTTTGATGAAACCCAACATCTCGATCTTGTTCAATCAGCTTAGAAAAGCTTTTGGTTGGCTGGCTGCTTTGAAAAAACAATCGCCGCGTTTAGCCAGCATCTCCGAAGGGGAGCTTAAGTTTATAACTGTGACAATGTTATAATTATGACTATGTTTATGTGCGCCATGTAAAATGGCTTAGCATTGCTCGTATCAGGAGCCCTGATAGTTACTCCTAGTGTTGGTACGATCTCTAGAGACAGACCCACATACTGTCCCGACCGGCAACGAAGTCGTCAACCTTTGCGATGATGGCGTTTTTTAAATTTCTATTGGGCAGTTAAGTTGAATATACTCCGTGAAGCTGTTCTTTACAATAGCAGTGCTTCTTGACTGTATATTAGGTGCTTCTTGATGAGGTCTGTCACGACTATTTAAAGCTCTGTGTTTATATTTTATTTTTTAATCACTCTGCTAAATGTGCAGCTGACGCCTGATGTTTATGTACACACACACACACACACATACACACACACACACAGAGACACGCACACGCACACGCACACACACACACACACACACAAAGACACACTAAATTTGATTTCCCGGATTTGCTCGGAATAGTAAAAGAAAATGTTTATTCTCCAACCCTCTACCTCATCTTATGTAGGCCTAGTTGAAACAGGGGTTTACTAAAACCCTATATCCCGTTTTTACTTGATCTTTGTCTCCCTCGCTGCCCTATCTTTAGTCATCGCTTAACCTGCAAAGAGACATTGACATAAATGTCGGCTCCTTCAAAAAACTGGTTACTGAGGTTAACCGTGAGAAATGGGCAGAAGTGTGTCACAGAATAAGCAGAGATAAATCACTAAAGCTGTTCTGGCGACTACATAAAAGTATGAACGGTGCCCACACAAATAAGAGCATTCCTGACTTCCAGTGCCCCGACCTCACCTGGCAGAGGTCAGACAAAAAAAATAAGGGCAAGGCGTTATTAGAACACTTTCTGCAGCGATGAGAGTGATGGCGGCGGCAAACTGTGAGCAGCGTCATCTATGTCTTCTGTACCAGGGTTTGGTCCTTTCTGTTTTTGAATACGGAAGGGCGATCCTAACTTTCAGCCATGAGCAGATGGAAAGGATGGAAAGGATACAGAACGAGGCTATGCGCATTATATTTGGGTGTACAAGAGATACAGCAGGCAGGGCGATGAGCTACCTTTCTGATTTTCCAACCATGAAAGACAGATACACATTTCCCGAGCCCGTGCCTACCTCACAATCAGGCGGACACACAACATCTATTACATAGTCAAATCAAGAAGATAAAAAGCAGCAAGTTAAAAATAGTCAAATCGTGGATGGGTCAAGCCGAATACATTAATTCCACAGTTTTGTTCACTTGAGGACTAAGAACCCGGCGAGGAGTAGGTGCAAGTGCCTTCAGAGTGTTGTACATCTATTTATTTATTTATAGGGCTGGTAACATTAACCGCACGACGCTGATGAATATGTTGAGAAGGGAATCTGAGCGCCTGTGGATGTGTCCGGAGTGCTCTGCTGTGAAGATAATCTAACTCATAACCCATAACTGTACATCTTTTTCTGTTTGCATCCAACTAGACATAAAATTCACATCAGAGTCCGGCTGCTGTGGAAGCATAAGTTCAAGCCTTGATTTTCGAGAACGCTTACAGGGTGATGCTGTCATTTACACAGATGGCTCTATAATCTGCCACGTTAGAAGCTCGTGGGCTTTCACGGCTCAGTTTGGAGTTGTGAAGAAGATTCTGGAGCTTTTGCCGTAACTACAAGTAGTCTGACTATAGAGGTCAGAGCTGCGATTAAAGCAGTAACATGGCTAGAGACACAGACTTTCCCTGGGGCATGCTTTTTCAGTGACTCGATGAGTATGCTCAGGAAGAAAGAGAAGGGCTGGGTCCAGAAGCAGTGGTTGGTGATTCCACAGAATTCACGGCTGACAAGGATTAGTTTCATTTTCGTGCTAAACATGTGAGGGTACAAGGAAATGAGCAAGCTGATAGGCTTGCAGGTAAGGCTACTGTGAAAGCCGGACAAGCCATGGACCAGGCTAATATACTGAATGCTTTAAGAGAGTTAAAACGTTTGCGTGAACCAACTAAGAACTGTGAATCTGCAACCAAGGTCAGATTGCAAGAACAACATGCTAAACATGGTGTCACCAAACAAGAACATTATGCGGGTAGCCAAATAAGAATAATACCACGCTGGGGGATTTACTTAGGAGGGGATCCGAGCACTTATAGACTGAATGGTTCAACGTGCAGTGAAGATTATCTGTCGACTAACTAACTAACTAGCTAACTAACTAACTAACTAACTAACTAACTAACTAACTAACTAACTAACTAACTAACTAACTAACTAACTAACTAACTAACTAACTAACTAACTAACTAACTAACTAACTAACTAACTAACTAACTAACTAACTAACTAACTAACTAACCAACCAACTAACTAACTAACTAACTAACTAACTAACTAACTAACTAACTAACTAACTAACTAACTAACTAACTAACTAACTAACTAACTAACTTGTCATTGCCTCTAAGAGCGTCACAGGCATACTCTGTAATACTAACATCAGTAATTTAACAATTTGGGAGACGTATAATGTATTGTCTCAGACACATTTAAATGTGGTTTTAAGGAAGACGATAGAGAAATATAATTGGAAAAAAATGTATCTTTTAAAGGGAAATAAGAGGGAAACAAACATCGAAAGGATTTAACTCTATCGAAAGTTCACTTTTACTGACTTTCACAATCAATAAAAAAATGTACAATAACTTTAGCCACCAATGTGACTGTTCAATTAAACATTGTAGTCATAATGACAAATATAAATTTACTCCGCGTATCGGTCACGGTTTGGGAGAAGTTAACACTTCATTTACAATAAACACACGAAATACAGAAAGGGTTTGTGATTTGTATTACATTACATATATTATATATAACTAACCTCCTAAATACTTTCCATAATTAATTATCCCTTTGTGGGATGCAATTTGTCGTTATTTTGAAGCCCCACCCTGGCTCTTGCCATTGGTAGCAATATAGCCCGGCTAATATGGCCAAATGACTGAACGTGGTTTCCGGAACCTCTCGACGGTGATCCTTATCCGCACGGTATCACTTTGTGTCATCGGGTGTTTATCGCTTTTGTGATGTCCTAGTGGGGTAGAAAGTCAGTCAGTCAGTTTTCGTTATTTTGAAGCCCCACCCTGGCTCTTGCCATGGACCGCAATATAGCCCGGCTAATATGGCCAAATGACTGAACGCGGTTTCCGGAACCTCTCGACGGGTGAACCTCATCCGCAATGTGGCACTTTGTGCCATCGGGTGTTTATCGCTTGTGTGATGTCCTGGTGGGGTAAAATGTGCTACTAGTACTAGTACGTAATCCTGTGGGACGCAATTTTTTGCTACTTTGAAGCCCCACTCCGGCTTTTGCCAGAGACCGTAATATACCGCGAAGGTTGAAGGCGTTTCTTGGACCTAAACTTACCTGATGAGACTGTACTCAGAGAACTGCTAAATATCATGGCCATGTAAATTCCACCGATGGCAGGGACGTCTCTCAATGCACGCATCACAAAATAAGGAGGCAATTGATTTTTATTGCTTACAATAGCAGCCTGTGATGAAAGCGAATAATGTTTAACAATGCTTCAAGTAACTGGATGAGATCTCCCCTGCATGTTAATATATATATATATATATATATATATATATATATATATATATATATATATATATATATATATATATATATATATATATATATATATATATATATATATAAACGGTAGCGGCTGATGCGGTTACTGTTGTGGATATGAACATCCGCTGCTGTCTTTAGGACATAGAGAGGTCACAGTCTTCCATGGAGTTGCTCTCGACAGGCAGGCAGGTAGACAGACACACCTTTAAGTCAATGGACCGCCATGGTTCAGCTTGATAAAAGTGTGAATAAAGCAACGAATTTTCACTTTAAATCTTTAACCAGGAGAAACAGTTTAAACACATACATACACACATTCTCTCTCTCTCTCTCTCTCTCTCTCTCTCTCTCTCTCTCTCTCTCTCTCTCTCTCTCTCCGTCTCTCTTCGTTTCTCTATCTCTTTCTCACGAGCACACACGTCGGTGTGCAACGTTAGTTCTTACATCCTGTTGTGTGCAATATATGGGAAGGGAAGTTCATTATTGAACGTAAAACTTGGTGCGGTGCAGCACACATTGAACGAAATGTGAAGAGAGAGAGAGAGAGAGAGAGAGAGAGAGAGAGAGAGAGAGAGAGAGAGAGAGAGACCGTTGGCTCTACGGCGCTGTGTAGAAGGCCTGTTCTAGTCTGGATGGTTCCAGACTGGTCCTGCATACATGTGTTACGCTGGCGGTAGGTGTACGGGCTGTCTGTGAGTGTTGTTACAGTGGCCGAGCCAGCGTGACAGACGCTCGTGTGGTGAGATCATTTAGATCTCAATTACGTGTCAGGCCGCAGACGGAAGGTCTGGACAAGTTTCACAATGTACTGTGCATCGGCCTGTATGATTCTGCTATGACAGTGTACCCAAGGAATGGGTGTCATAGAGGTAGACACATAATCACGAGTAGTGAGTTGGCATGAGCAGGTAATGTTTGCTCGTAGTTGACAGGGTGGCAGTAGAAGTAGCCCAGAGCGTCCGTAGTGTGTGTTGCCTTGCCAGTAGGAATGACTGTGGCGGTGTAACGTTTTATTCTCTTGATGCCTTTCATTGTTTTGGTGTTGAAATTAGAAATACATTAATTCTGTTTGACGTTCAACATGTATCCGGCGTCCTTTATTGCTGTTGGGCGGGAGTGGTGACTTGTTGCTGTAACACTATTTAGCATACCATGGATACTTGGCAAGTGTGCGGTGTATCAAGCGAACATTCGCACACGTCACATCCGTGTGTGTGTTATGAGTACGTTATCCTCGCCGCACTCCAGACACGTCCTTAGGTGTTCAGACCCAACCCCACGCCCCATTCAACGTAAACACCAGCATCACTTGGCTAATAGTGACAGTTTTAAGGAAGTCGACACAACCTTTGTTGCATCAGGTGTGACTCTCTTGCCTGGCTGTGCCGATCTTTACTCTCAAATCTATATACTGAGCAAAGCCGTCTCCATCATGTTGGAGACGGCCTTGAAACTGAGCAACGTTATGAATGCATTGTTCCAGCCGTACTCTTTATTATTCAGTTAAGAGACCTAAAATGTCAGCGCGATTCATAGGCTGACCAATTGCAAACACAGATAGGCTTTTTATAACTTTTCCCGGAGTCAGTATTCCAGTATGTTCCGCGACAAAGCTGAAAGTGACTCCACGAATAGAAGATTTCTGAAATGACTCAGATGAATGTTGTAGCTGCAGGCTTCATATTGGATAAATTAAACTTAAAAAAAAAATCCTCACAGTAAGCCAATACTTATAGTTATTATAATTTGTTCCCTTTAGTTGCTATGCTTTTCCTTTTTTCAGCAGTAAAGCACCATCGCATAACTGTGTTCTTTTGGTAACAATATAGTTAACTTCACACCAGTCCTTAACATTATCCCACAACATAGGAGTGCCACTGTCCGTTGCTTTCCTAATGGGTATGCCAGTTATTTATTAAATATACTCAATGCCAAAATGTCTGCATTTGAGTATTGTTAAATTTGTGATTGGAAGCCGCCCTGGTGGAGAGGCTAGAACTCGCTGGGGACTGGAAGGTCATGAGTTCAGATCCTGAGGGAACTGGGCTTTATTTTATTCTTAAAAAAAATGACCTTTGCTCCGAATTCCAGCTGCACTACTCGACTACATTTAACCTGCTGTTAGCAGCGACGCTCCTTACAGTCTCCGGTTAAAATTGTGGACTAGTTTTTGTTTTGTTTGCGCCACCTGTGTCGCTAAGATGGTGGTATGTGTGCCAGTTTGCTGGATTTGTGCCCCTATTCTAAAAGACAGACCGCTACTATCGATCTGTGTCCCAATGTGTTCCTCTTATCCTTGACTTGCTCTAGGTTTTGCCTTATGGGTCATTCTCTATCCGGTTCCGTCCCCTTATTAGTATGTCCTTGTGTCTTCTACTGTGTTCCCGAATCTGTTCCCTTCTATTTGTGGCCAGGTGTATGTAGTAAGAGACCGAGCTAGTTCGCTGCTATTTCCTACATAACGGCACTTCGGACTACCATTTACAATTTTAACATTGTGAATATTTTACATTGCTAAAAGTATTGAAAACAGGATTTGGGTTTGGAATGATCCGAAATTGTGTGAATAAATTTCGAATGTGGTCATAGGGATCTTACAGATGTCGTCCTTGGCCCCAGGTCGACATGGTTAAATGGGTATCATGTAAAGTCTTGGGAAGTAAAAGCGACCGTCGTGATGTTGACCACATCAGCCACCCAGCAACGACTCGTCTATAAAATATAGATATAATCGTATACCTCCAGTATTTGAAGGCGTAGATAGAGTCGTTTTCTTTACTTTTATATGTATTCATGAATTGTTAGTTTTACCTCAAATGGATCACAGCGAATATGGACAAAGTAGGCAAACGTCACCCATGACATTGCCGTCAACATTGCGCCATAGACAATGAACAGAACACTGTTCATGAGAAACGCTTGCTTGGCAGCTGTCATCGATCTCATGCCAGATATTCGTTGCAGTGAAGACTGGCTGCATATTGTGGAAAACCTGTGATGATAGGAAATAATAAAGTAAAAAGGACCCCTTCTCTCGCCTTTAGACGTATTGGGTATATAGGGCTAGACCTAAATTATATAGATAGAACAATCAGCACTCGGTAGGTTATGTCATCAACATCAAGCAGATACAGAAAAAAGCCATTGTTACGCCCGTGCTTCACTAGGCACACCATTCTATCATCATCATCATCATCAGGTGCCGTACCGATCATGCCTCGCCACAATTCGCGATCTCCCGCAGCATGTATCAATTCGTGTGCTAACACACCTCCATACCATGCAACAAGACTGTCAAGAATCTTCTTTCATTGTCCTCCACTGTCCTTCCCTCCACAAATCTTTTCAGTTGTCACAGCATCTTACAGTTTCTCTCTTGTCATAACCGAAAAATGGTGGCTGTCTCCTTCTGATGTCTGTGATGAGTTGTCTTCGTGCTCCCGCCTCTTTCAAAACCTCTTGGTTGCTCTTTTTGGTTGTCCAAGGTATTTTAAACATTCTTCTGTAAAACCACATCTCTGAGGCCTCAAGAAATTGTTTGGCCTGCCTACCGATTGTCCGGGAGTCACAGCCATATGTTAAAACTGGATGTATGTAGCAAACAAGAATTTTTTTCCAACCCTCATTGACAAAAATGCATTGCATAAGATGTTCTTTATCTTATAAAATGCAGTTTTTGCCTGTCCTATTATGTTTCTTATCTCAGTAATACATCTTCCATCTGATGTTATCCATATTCTTAAATTTCTGTACTTGTCCCAAAATAACACCATTGACTTTTATTACACATTTAGGAATACTTCTTTTCTTTGATACCACAATTACTTCTGTCTTTCTATTATTCAAGCTAAAGCCCATTCTTCCACTTTCTACCACCACTATGTCTATCTAATTTCCTGTAGCTCTTTCTGACTTGTTGATATCAAGACTGAATCATCAGCATAAAGTAAATTGTTTATATTGTGTCCACCAACCACGATTCCGGGATATCAATTAAAGATCTCATTATATATACATTGTATAGTGAAAAAAAAATCAGGTGACAGTACGCACACTTGTCGTTCACCCCTCTTATGCTCTGAAATGTACATAAACAGTCGTTAATTCTTATAGCTGCCGTTTTCTGCCAATACATATTCTTTATTATTCGTAGAGCTTTTCCATCATTGTTTAATTTTTCTAACGGTTTGATTACTTCTTCACGTTTCACACAGTCAAATACTTTTGTATAGTCTATTAAGCATAAGTACAAATCAGTCTTTACTTCTATAGCTCTTTTTGACAATGTCCTTGGGACATTTTTAACATTGTTTGTACTTTTTCCTTCTAAAAATTAACATTGTTCATCACTGATTTTTGGTTTAATTTTGTTTCTTATTTTTCTCATAATTATTCTCGGTAAAATCTTAGTCATGTGACTCATAAGACTTATTGTGAGATGATCTTCACATTTTAAAGTGCCTGGTTTCTTTGGCAGAGCTATAAATATGGATTTTAAAAGGTCACTTTAAATAAACCCACTATTGTAAATATCATTTAAAAGTTTAGTTATTATTTCAATTCCAAAATCTCCGTGCTTCGATTTCTTACAGTGAGATGTTGTCTGGCCCGGGTGCTTTTCCTTTTTTTATATGATGTATTGCATCCTCAAATTCTGCAGTCATTTTTGGTGGACCATTATTGGTGATCTGCAGTTCTACATCTGGTCTATTATTATCATACAATTCCCCTATATACTCTGTCTATCTGTTAATTATATTATTATATCCCATTAATGTCACAATATTTTGATTTTAAACACCCAGTGCTGTTACGTGTCATCTTTCCTGTTAACATATTTATATGTTGGTACATTATTTTAGAGTTAACTGTCCCACCAACTAACTTGCCTCCTCTCAATGACCATCACCTGTTTTGGGCTACGGCCACTTATTCAATATAATAGTGGCTAACCTCTATATCTAGAGGTCTTTCCACTATCCGCCACCTGGTGGACGCGCATTGTAGTAAGACAGGCTACTACCATTCAATACTAACATTATTACTGATCTTCTAGGTACGGTGTGGTCAACATCACACAGGCCGCCTTTGTTTCTCAGAACATTACCCGGTACATTACCCATTTTATGCTGCGTCGACGTGGTGGCCAAAGTCAATTTGTAACTATTTTTCTTCCTTAAGGACTGGGAGAAAGTCCACGACGTACACCCGTATGTTGCTACAGTGCAGATGCGAGCTCTAAAAATTGTAACCTTGATTTCCTTGCCTAACCATAGACTTTTAATGCTGTTTAATAACTATTTCTATGGCCATCATCCCTTTGAGACAGTGGTATAGCTACTGTAATTTCTACCACTTTTTTATTTTAATTTTTCTGTTGAACCCCCACATATTTTTTTCTCTTGGAGAGGTCTCCAAAAGAAATGTAAATACGTTTATTATGCAACTACTGCAACAGGTGGAAAGTGAAGGACTCTCCTTATGCAACTGGCGCATATGACATATGATACTTGTTAAGATAGTTGCGTATTCTTTACAGGAGATTGCAGAACCAATACAAGGATTTTTTTTTTTTGCTGTTTCAGTTTTTCTAGACACATTTAAGTTCAGTAGTTTGCCATTGCTCTCTAAACGGTCGGCTCCTGTTACCACTGTCGAAACCAAAGCAAGTCGGTCTGTTGTCACTTGCAGCTGGGATCGAACCCGGCAAACTGGCATTACAAAGTGCGTTCGCAACGCTTAGGCCCCAAACCCCAACACACATTTAAATACCATTAGGCTTTCGATGTGTGATTTGGTCATTATAATACCAGCTGTCTTTGCTTTTCATAATATTTCAATATTTCCTCCTATCTATTTTAGACTGGGTCGACCCGGGAGCCAGGATTAGATGAGCGAGAGAGAGAGAGAGATAGAGAGAAAGAGAGAGAGAAAGAAACAGACATACAAACAGACAGATAGACAAACAGACAGACAGACAGACAGACAGACAGACAGACAGACAGACAGACAGACAGACAGACAGACAGACAGACAGACAGACAGACAGACAGACAGACAGACAGACAGACAGACAGACAGACAGACAGACAGACAGACAGACAGACATAATGAATGATATTTATGTCGGCAACGTTATGATGATGTTGGACCATTGTGTTAGAACGAGATGACCCAGACATAAACTTGAGCTGAGACCAGACAGACTGACCAGGAGAAAAGCCGTGACGACTGAGCTGGACTCAGCTGCACGCTCGACCGATTTACGAGCAGTCCGAAGTGGGAGTGAACACTGTAGGGTAACAAAAGTTCTGTTCGATGAAAGAAATGGGAAGAATTTGTGCGACTTTACAACAGGGACATTATGTGACCGACTGTTAGAATATAGCTTGCTGTTGACCAGTGTAGTGACCCTCAGCCTGTATTTCGTTCAGGTTGTAGCTATAGTTTGTACTGTACGGTGTTTGGCGAAATCACCTAGTCTTGCAGCGTTATTGTATGGGTGTGAATTAGTCACGTAGATTCTGTTAAAGCAGTTGTTCCTGACCGTAGAGCAATAATTGTGGCAATAGCATCTGCTCGCATGCATTCGGCCATTTACTCTGTATCCGCCTCAGAATCTTCGTGTCGGGGACAACGGCTTTGGACAACAATGTACGAAAACGATGTGGGTTTGAGCCAGGTGATTATTCATGGGAACAGGCAGGCGTGACTAGTGATTGTAAAGCTGGCACAGCCTGCTTTTTGAGTAAACTGGCACCTGCAGCTATTTAGGCTTACTGCCATGTGTATAATGGTCTTTGTACATTACAGATTGGTGTGTGTGCTCCATGGGTGTTATACTTCGTGTGTGCTTAAGCAAATTTATCTGTTATCGGCCTACAACGCCAGCCATCTGTATTATTCAATAAATAAAGTTGTTGACAATTTTCAACAGGTTAAGGCCCTCTTAGAGACATTAATTCAGACAGACAGACTTAAGCTGCTCGACAGTTTGACTTGATGGCATTTGAGGACAAAAACAATCAATACAATATAGGCACAAGGCTATGTAGATACACACAATAATAAGTCTACACTTTACGGACCATAGACAATGTGTACAAAGACGGATTTCGATACCTACCAATAAATACTGAATCCGAAAGTGGTGCCCCACCAGGTGAATTTCACTCGTGGATCGAAACTCATCTCTGTGAAGGAGGCCCTGCCATTCTCCTGTACAATCTTGAAAACGGCGTGTCCTCCCCCGACCACTGAAAAGCCTGTTATAACATATATACTATTAGATTAATTTTGGAAGTATTTAGTAAAACATCGTTATTTTTACAAATAATTCAAGATTTAACAGCGAGTAAAAAATAACGTTGACTGAAATCGAGGGGATACCGCGAAGTAGTTAACACAACACTATCCTTGTGTGGGTTCCTCTTAGTGGGAGGAATCACAGACTCTTTTAACTAGCGTGTCCTCAAATGTGACGTATCAAAATTGCATCCCACAAGGTGATGACTTGTATTAAATGCTAAAGTAAATTACTGACAGTCAGCCAGTTAGTAACAGATTATACAAACACAAATAACACAAACTGCAGCTGCCGGATAAGTTCGAAAATTAAGGTGTCTTGAAAGAAAGTTACTGATAAAGAGAACAAGAGAAAGTAATCTAACTTGTTTTAAGAAAGTAAGGAAAAGCTTGAATAGGTCGTAAGAAAAGAAGTTTGTATAGGGAAAAAAGCAAAAGTGACACAGACTATGTCCCAGTAGGACAGCTGTGCAAGAATTAACTGGCATACAGCCAAATAGAAGGTCGCTAGCAGACGTCATTAAAAAAAGTCTGGCGCTGTCGGGAACTAAACCAATGGCCTTCCGATCTACAGGTGAGCGTCTGGCCTTTACACCATGACTGGTAACTAGGGTTTAAATCTACTTACTTACTTACTTAGTCGCTCCTCTTCTACCTTGGGGTGTAGAGGTTTGCCAGAGAGATCGCCAGACGTCTCTATCAGCAGTTTTCTTTCTGGCTTTGTTCCATTCCAGTCCTCTGTCAGTCAGGGACTGTCGGATGTTGTCTTCCCAGCGCACCCTGGGTCGTCCCGGAGGTCTGGTTCCCTGGTTCTTAGCCTCCCATGCTTGCCATGGTGGCCGATTTTCTCCCATTCTGCACACATGTCCAAACCATCGTAACTGTGACTGATCCACTCGGGTTAGTAAGGGCTGGGTATCAAGATCTTGACGTATTGTCTGATTGCGGACTTTGTCCCTTCTTGTCACTTGGACCACCTTTCTCAGGTATCTCATTTCCGAGGCCTGCAGCTGGCTTCTGTGAGCTGTTGTCATTGCCCATGACTCACACCCATAGGTCAGGACTGGTACATAGGTAGAGCGGTAAACAGCCATTTTCGTTCTCTTGCCAATTTCTCTTTTGCTAAGAAACCCTCGGTTTATGGCCTGGAAGAGTCTCCCAGCAGCTGCTTTTCGTGTAGCCAGCTCAGTCTTAATGCCTCCATTTTGGTCTAATACAACTCCAAGGTATTTGAACTGGTTAACCTGCTCCAACGCATACTGACCCATCATGATCTGGTGTTTCTTCTCCTCTCTTGAGATCACCATGGTTTTAGTTTTGGAGACACTGATGGTCATCCCTTTCTTTTCAAGCTCTTCCTTCCAGACAAGTAAGTTGGACTGAAGGTGTGCCTCTGATTTAGCTATCAGGGCCACATCGTCTGCAAAAGCCAGCTCTGATATACAGATTGGTCTCATCTTCCAGTACCCTACAGAGTACTTCTTTGTCTTCTCCTTACAGGTCTTGATGACATCATCCATCATAAGAATGAAGAGGTAAGGTGAGAGAATATCACCTTGTCTAACACCGCTGGTGGTCTTAAATTCTTCTGACTTTTGGTCTGCTGTTCTTACATAATTTCTGCACTTTTTGTAGAAACTCTGTATTGCACTGATCAGGGGTGCTGGGATGTTTTTCCCTGCCAAGCAGTCCCAGAGCTTGTTCCAGGGTACCTTGTCAAATGCCTTTTCCAGATCCAAAAAACATAAGTGAATCTCACTCTTATATTCCAGGGCTTTTTCACTCATCTGTCTCAGTGTGAAGATAAGGTCTTGAGTACTTCGGTTTGCTCTGAAGCCGCACTGGGCCTCGTCCAGCTGTGGCTCTACCAGACTTCTAAGTCTCTGCTCAAGAATTCTAGAGTAACTTTTACCGGGAATGCTGAGGAGGGATATGCCTCTGTGGTTTTCACATTGTCTGTTATCACCTTTTTTAAATATAGGTATAATGATGGCAATCTCCCAATCTTTTGGTATAGTTTTGCTACACCAGGCTGCCTGGAGAACCTTCAGTAGAAGGCGCTCACCTTCGACTCCCATATATTTGACCATCTCTGGTGTTATACCATCATGACCTGCTGCTTTTCCCAGCTTAATCTTCTCAATAGCTGCCTTCAATTCTTCCATCCTGATGTTATCTTCCCCATGATTGAATTCCTTCTCAGCAGTGAGGTCCATTATTTCTGGGTCATGACTTCCCTCAGCGCCGAGGAGCTCTGAGAAGTATTCTTTCCATCTGCCCATGATATCATTTGTAGAAGTAAGCAGAGCCCCTTCCTTGTCTTTTATGAATTTAAGTGGGCACTCTTTCTCCTTCCTCATGTTCTTAAGGGTCTTGTAGAACAGTTTTTGGTTTTCTCTTGCATTCTTTTCCAACTTTTCTCCAAACTCTTCCCATGATTTCTGTTTTGCTTTAAGCACAATATTTTTGGTCTCTGTTCTGAGTGCCACATATTGTTTATATTTTTCTATTTCTTCAGCTGTGTTCCTGGCTGCCAGGTATTGCTTCCATGCCCTTTTCTTTTCTCCTATT